TCCAAAATATGCCATTTTCCAGTGTTAAATAAATGTTTTTTATTTTCTGTCATGGAGTTTATTATTTAATTGTTCATTATTAAAAAAAAGAAGAGGATGTTAGTTATGACGGATAGAGTGATGGAGCGATCTTAGATTGTCTTACCGAAAACAAGAATGGGGTGCTAGTTATGACGGAGAGAGTAATGGAGCGAGCTTAGATTGTCTCTTCATGACCATATAAACAGTCAGACTCTCTCTCAAATAAGCATAGTGCAGAATATCGTTGTGAACACATGAAAAAGTAGACTTCTTTGGCGGAACATTTTGTTTGCCTTGCTAATAACCGATGGACATAGCACACTGGTGAATGGTATTCACAAAAAAAAATGAAAGGCCACTTCGACGAAATCGAATTTTAGCTGAAGGTAAGCAGCTCAGAATCGAAACACCTGGCACACTTACGTCTAGTGGAAGCACCCCAGTAACATCACTAACATGAAACATCCACAAAGTTCGGTTAAAAGAGCATCCTGATATTTTTTATTAGCAATTTACTCCATAAAACATTATTCATACGTGGATTTTCGTGTGTGTATTTTTTACTCGTTTTTTGCAGCTATGCAATGCAAAAACTCATGCTGACGAGGGGTTGTTCGTGTGTCTGTGTGTGCGTCTGTCACGCACTTTCATCTCAAGACCTATAAAAGCTGCAGGGCTGAATTTTCAAAAACCTAGTCTCCATGCACGTGTCGGCCCCAATCCCCAAAATGGGCGCCATCACCCGCGTGGTACCCGCGTACGGGCCCGCCAAAGTTTTTTAGGGGTAAGTTCATAACTCGGGGATCTGAGAAGCTAGAACGCTGAAATCTTAGGGTGGTGTTCCCTGTCCAAGTGGGTATTAAGGAGTTCAAACCCTGCCCGCGAGTAAGCGTGATACCTGCCTACGGGCCCGTGGAAGTTTTTTCCGGGTAACTTGCTAATTCGAAAATGTTAGAAGCTAGAAGACTGGAATTTTGAAAGGATGTTTCCCGACAGTTCTGGCGGCCAGTCTAAAATTCTTTTAGCTAGAAGCATCTGTCGGAAAAGCCAGTGCCGGTAGCGACAAAAATCTGCGGGGAGTTATGCAAAAAATGCATCCTCGCACGGGCAGCCCGTGTGCAGGCCAATTATTTAATTTTCTGTCATGGGAATTATTAACTATTCCTTGCTAACACAGAGAGTGATCAAGCGAGCGTGGATTGCCTCTTCGTGACCATATAAACAGTCAAACTCTCTGTCAGATAAGCAGGGTGCAGAATATCATTGTGAGCGCATAAAAAAGTAGATATGATTGGCAAGACACTTTGTTTGCCTTGCTGACAACCGATGGACGTAGCACATTGGTGAACGGTACTCACGAAGAAATAAAGGGCGGCTTCGGTGGCGTCTGAAGAGGTAGTGCGGCTCGAATAGACGGTAGATGTTAGCTGAAAGTATGTAGCTCAGAATCGAGAGACCTGGCACAACTACGCCCAGTGGGAGCAGCCCAGGATATCCGCAACATACGACTTAATGGACCGGAACATTTCTTACCAATTACAAATGTTTTAATGCTCCCCTCCCTTTTTTTTCACTTCGTTCTCCCTCTCTTCTGTTTCCTTTTCCTCATTTTCTACCTTAGCTTTAAATATTGTTTAATTAGAAAGGGACGTTTATATTGATATTTAACGATTTGGGCCATAATCATTATTCATGTGCTGGTTTTTACATGGATTTTTATGGTTTTTTTTTTTTTTTTTGTCGAGGTACGCCTGATTTGGACGCGTTCTTAAGCACTTTGATGCGTTAGTAATTAATGGTTGGCTTTAGGCAGCCGAACACATTTGCACAACGGACATTATCATCACACATTCGTTGTCGCTTTCATCTACGCTCCGAGCCTATTTCGAATCGGCTCGTAAAAGCCAAAAAAATTTCCGGCTGCTCGCAGTGGATGAGGAAAGTGATGAGGGCGATTGCCTTTCATCGGTGGATGTGCTTACGGCCATGCAGCGTGCCACTCGGGTTGTTATTGCCGCTGCTGCTGTATTTCCGGATGGATCCTGCTTAGCACCAGCTGGTATTTTTATTTTTTTCGTACTTAAATTGGTGTATAAAAAGGTGAAATTCTTCCCCCCCCCCCCCCCCCCCCCCCCCCCCCCCCC